ACAATGAAGGAGAAAGAAAAACAAAACTAAAACAAGAACAAAAAACAATCAGAGACAGAGAGAAGAAAAAGGTCCACTTCCAGGTATGGCTCTGCTGTTACTGGTAGACAATAAAAAATATATTGCCTTTAACACCCCTTTAAAATGTCCTTTCTTCAAACATATTTAACCTATTCTTAATACTTTCTGAGATAGTTCTAAAAGTCCTCTTTTGTGGGTGTCTCTTAATTGCACTGTGATGGCTGTCTTGATAGCTTGAATCAATTCTGTTTTAATTAATTGATTTATTTTTTGTCTTTTTTACTTTTTTTTTTTTGTCTTTTTGAGACAGGGTCTCGCTATGCAGTTCACGCCAGCCTTGAGCTCACTTTGTAGCCCATGCTGGTCTCAAACTCACAACCATCCTCCTGCCTCTGCCTCCTGAGTACTGGGATTATAGGTGTGCACCACCATGCCTGGCTATTTTTTGTCTTGAGACAGGGTCTTTCTATGCAGTGCAGGCTGGCCTCAAGCTCATTTTGTAGCCCAGGCTGGTCTCGAACTTGTAACGGTTCTCCTGCCTCAGCCTCCTGAATGCTGGGATCACAGGCATGCACCACCACGCCTGGCCTATGTACTTGATTGGTTGACTGATTGAGTGGAAGCAGAGTCTCAGCATGTAGTTCAGGCTGGCCTTGAATCCGCTGCGGAACCTAGGCTGGCCTTGAACTCACAGTGATCCTACTGCCTCAGCCTCCTGAATGGTGGGATTACAGGTGTGTGCTACCATGCCTGGCATTTTGTTTTTTCCATTTAGATTTTATTGGTACATTTTAGATATAGTTTAGATATTATTTTGGTTTTTTAAAAAATTAAATTAAATTTTATTTTTTTAATTTTAAAGAGAAAAAAAGATAACTTCAAAACAAGATGATAGGCAATTACAATGGTTAGTATATTACATATTTTTATTTTCAAAGTAGTTCTTCAGATTACCAGATAGAGGCATGTAAAATCGATCAAATAGTAGAAAGTGCTTTTTGAGACAGAGTCTTGCTATGTGGTTCAGGCTGGCATGGAACTCACTTTGTATCCCAGGCTGGCCTGTAACTCGCCTTGACCCTCCTGTCTGTCTCCTAAGTGGTGTGATCATAGGTGTGAGCCACCATAGCCAGCCTGCCCTCAGGATTTTGAAGGCATTGTTTCACTGTTGTTTTAATATTTTAATGTTATTTTTAATATTCTGCAGCCTTCTGTATTCTTTTTATTTAATGAATGAGTTGCATTGTTGCTTAATATAGTCATTTAGCCCAGAAATTGTTATGCTTCATTTTTCTTGTATTATGTATTGCATCATTTTATCTTTTTTTCTCTCGTGCAGTGCACTGTTCATCTAGATCTTGTATCTCCTGATCTTTGAAATTTCTTGTTTCTATCTCTAGAGCCTCCAAACCGCTGGTCAAAGTACATGCTCAGGTTTGAGTCTAGGGCTGTGTAGATGCCAGGCCTGGATGCTAGGCAAGCACTTTATTGTTAAACTACATCCCCAGCTCTTTTTCTCTTTTTGGTTTTGTCTCTTCCTTCTGTTACCTTTCAGTTTCATTTTAAGTACCTATTGAATTTTAAAATTTCTCTTACCATGTGTATGTCTGTCAGTACAGGGGATTGAGCCTAGGGCCTTACACTGAACTACATTTTAAAATTTTATTTTGAGAGATAGGGTCATCTTGCTAAGTTGCCCAGGCTACAAATGAACTTTTGATCCTGCTGCCTCAGCCTCCCAGAGTGCTGGGATTACAGGAATGTTGCACCATGTCCAACTCTTACTGTATTTTAAATTTCTGGAGCTGTTTTTTTGTTCTCTGTGTTTCTTTTTTTATTGCATTATGTTTCTTTCCAACTCCCTGAATGTAATTATAATAGGGTTTTAATTTTTTTCTTTTGTTATTGTTCATTTGATAAAGTTACTAGCTTTAATGTTGAGAGCATTCTTCAGATTATAGGAGATCCTTGGTGGCCTGTTGGTATTTGAAGAGAAAACATTAAAAAGCTGAGTAGATGATTTGGCTGTGGGTGTGTGGCACGTCAATTGTTGGACTTCTTTTGTGGAGTGATTGAGAGGCCTAAAAATGTCAGTATATATATGTAGATCATTCCTCTGTAACCCATCACATTTCCTATAGAACAATGTTCCAGACTTTTTCAGCTTTAATGGGCATCTGTACGTTGCCTATGTACATAGCTCTGATTTAGTATTTTGGCCCTTGGGAGTCTAGCAAGTTGTCTGTTGATGCTGATATAGGAGTATTACACTGAGTGGCAGAACTGACATTAGCTGCATTCTCAGAATGGAGAGATAAATTGAGGAAGCTTGTGAGTCTCCTTGAAGCAGGGTGGGGAATCAAGCCTTCTTGTTTATTTTTTGAGACAGAGTCTTACTGTGTAGATCAGGCTTGAATTTATCACATGTAGCCCAGGCTGACCTGGAACTCATGATGATCCTTGTGTCTCAGCCTCCTGAGTGCTAGTATTACAGGTTTGCATCACCATACCTGGCTTCAGGTCTTCTTTTTGTATCAATTTAGTGAATATATAAAAGTGGTTTTTATGTATATATATATACACACACACACACACACACACACACACATATATATATATATATATATAGAGAGAGAGAGAGAGAGAGAGAGAGAGAGTGTGTTTTCTTTTGGAGACAGAGTCACTGTGTAGTTCAGGCTGGCTTTGAACTCACTGTGTAGCTCAGCCTGGCCTCAGACCCACAGTGAGCCTTCTGCCTTTGCCTCCTGAGTGCTCAGGTTACAGGTGTGTGCCCCTGTGCCCAGCAATAAATATATATTGAATGATGAATATAAATTAGTTTTGAAACTGGGATGTGGTGAGAAACTGGTGAAAATTTTAGAAGCTAGAGGGTAAAGAAAAAGATCTTTCAGGCATTATCACGTACATTTCCTTGATTACAAGTATGTTTAAGTGTATATTTATCAAAAATTTGCATTTGCCTGTTTATGTCTCCTGTTTTCCTTTTGAATTTTTTTTTTTTTTTTTTTTTTTTTTGGTATGTGTGTGTTTCCAGTACTGGGAATAAACCCAGGGCCTTCACTGTGTCCCCACTCTTACTTATTTTTATTTTGAGATAGGATTTTTTGAAGTTATGAGGTTGGACTTATATTTCCAGTCCTCCTACCACAGCCTCCCATAGTGCTAGGATTACAGGTGTGAGTTCTTTTTCTTATTCATACAAAGGAGCAGCAATATATGGTGGGTTTTTTTTGTTTTTTGTTTTTTTTTTTTGGCTTTTTGAGGCAGGGTCTTGCCTTGTAGTTCAGGCTGCCTGGCAACTCACTATGTAGCCCAGGCTGGCCTTGAACTCATGGTAATCATTCTACCTCAGCCTCCCAACTGCTGGGATTATAGATGTGCACCACTGCTCCCAGCTACAGTGTGTATTTTTGAGTTCTGTGTGTATATGTTACCTTTTTAAGGAGAGAAGATTTATTTTGGTTTCAGAAGTTTCATTCTGTGGTTGGTTGTCTGTCTTTAAGGCCAAATGATGTGGCAGAGGAAAGCTTCTCATCCCTTGGCAACAGGGAAGCAGAGCACAGGAGAAGAGCCATGGAGAGTAGAACGGGCAGCGGACAGGGTGTATTTGCTAAAGGCATTTCCTCCCGCTGGACCAGTCTCCTCATACTGGTTCTGCTAGTGCCCTGTGATTCTTTCAGTTCCTCAAGTCCCACCAGCTGGCACCCAAACCTTCAATATAGGGAAGCTTTTGGGGGACATTTTGGATCAGCTAGAACTTTCTTTTTTGGTTTTTTGAGACAAGGTCTTACTGTGTTGTTCAGTTTGGGCTTGAATTCACCATGTAGCCCTGGCTGGCCTCAGACTCATGGTGATCCTTTTGCCTTAGCCTCCTGAGTTAGAACACTTTGTAATACGTATTTTAGACGTAAATAAACAGCCAAGCTCTCTGTTGCTCATAAGAGCATTAATATGTTCAGCAAACTGCAAAATCTCATGGTTCTAATCTTATTCGAGTGCATGAAAGGAATAAACTACCTAATTTATTTCACTCACCTGATGGGAATTCATCCATACATATTTGGGATAGAAATAAACTTTGTGGGCTGCACCTTGAGACATTGTGTTGCTAAGGGATTAAAGGCTAATTTTGCAGAGAAAGCCGGAACTGCCATGGCAATAGGTAGGATAGACTCGTGAAGGTCCACCGTGGTAGTTGCCTGGGCATTACCAGAGTTACTTCCTGGGTCACCCGATATACATAGCTCCCTCCCTCTTTTTCAGTCTTACTACTCTTACCTATTTCCTGCTACCTCTTGAGAATTTTATCCTGCCAAAGGGAGATTATGTTGTGTTCAGAGCACCCTTCAGGGAGGCTTCATTAATATGGCCAGTGTTACTAACCTAAGGCAAGATTTTAGGGAATGCCATTGGCATAGGATCTTACATAGTATTTTTTTAAAAAATTTATTTTAAGGAGAATAAAAAAACCCATAACAAAATAACAACAACAAAGACAAAAATTGCACAAAAACAATAAAAAGGATATAGGACCTCAAAACAAAATGATAGAAATTAACAGTGGTTGTTATATTACGTATTGTCATCTTCAATGAAGTTGCTCAGATTGCCAGATATAAGAATGCAAGATTGATCAAGCAATTAAATAGAATAAAAAGTAGTAAAAAAATTAGAAGTGATACAGAGCTTTGCCAAACAGGATGGTAGGAATTCATCAATGGTTGTTATATTGCATGTTGTTGTCTTTAAATTAGTTGTTCAAAAATAAATAAATAAATAAGTAAATTAGTTGTTCAGACTACCAGATACAAGCATGTAAAATTGCTCAAGAAAAAAAAAATTAAGCATTAACTGTTTTACATGGTATTTTTAATGCCTTGTTTGCTTTTTTGTTATTTTTTGCTGAGTAAACTTTCTCCCCATTCATTAAGATGTGTTTGCTTTTCTTTACATTATAGCAAGTGGAAAGGGGACAATAGCAGCGTCACTTCCCTGTGTATCAGCCCAGATGGAAAGATGTTACTTTCAGCTGGTCGAACAATCAAACTATGGGTTTTGGAGACCAAAGAAGTCTACAGAGTGAGTGTATGAAATTATTTGTAAGGGTAACAGTAATACAGAGTAAGTACGGAGAAAGGCAGAAGTTGGAGCCGTGTGATACTGTATTGAGAATACAGTTTTAGGCTTTGTGCTGCAGACCAATGGTTTCAGCACTTAGGAGTCTGAGGCAGGAGGATAGCTTGAGGCCAGCCTAGGCAGCAGCACAAGGAGACTTCCTCCGAACAACAAAAAAATACAAAAAGATTTTTCATGTATGTTAAATAATAGAATTAACAGACAAAAGTTAGTGTGCATATTTGATTTGTCCTGGAAAGAATGAATAAAACAAATAAATGGAATTTGAGTTTAAAATCTGTTACTATAAGGTAGTTGTGGTAATTTTATTTTTTAACTGGCATCTAGCATTTGGTTCATGTATAGATTTCATTGTGGAGATTTGGTATTAGGAAAAACAGCTGCACCCAGGGATTACTGAACTTTTGGTGCTGTGATGATGCTGTAAAATTGTGGTTTCGACTCACTGAGAGTAAAATGAAGACCTACAATTCCTTGGCTGTGTCTGAGCACCTAAGCACCCTTTTAAGAGTGAGTGGAGTTAGCGCTGGAGATGTAGCTGAGTGGCAGAGTGCTTGCCTAGCAGTCCCAAGATCCTGGGTTTGATCCCTGGTGCTGCAAAAAAAGCATTTAATTTTGATTGCTTTCAAAGTGGAAGGATTACAGCACAAATAATCTCATTTCCTTATAGTTAAGCAGCTTTTTTGTGGAGCTTTGCTGTCAGATTAATAATAATTTCTTTATGGTACACATGGATTCTTTTTGTACAGTACTACTTTGAATCTGTCCCCTCCTAAATGAGATTTAACTCTCTCTAGCACTTCACAGGACATGCGACACCAGTTTCATCACTTACGTTTACTACTATCAGACCTCCTAACGAGAGCCAACCCTTTGATGGAATTACAGGCCTTTATTTCTTATCTGGAGCAGTGCATGACCGGTTACTTAATGTCTGGTAGGTAGTTCTTTTGGATTTTGGAGGGGGTTTGCCTTGAAGGGACCTGTCATAGCTTGTGTGGTTGATGTGAGTGATGAATGTGAGACTCCCTTTATTATTGGAATTACAGTGAGTTATAATGAAGAACTGACCCTGTCTAAACGTTGGATCTTTTGGAGAACAATTTAAGAGCATTACATAATAGAGCCTCCTTTATACTTCCTTAGAGATAAAGTGACCTGAATATTTTGTGACTGGGCAATTTGAAAATAAACATTTTTAGGGGAGAAGGTTTTTCATTTTGTTGAAATAGATAGCACCCCTATGTTAATATAGTAATGTCTATTGATAGTTTCCTAAGGATATAGAATTTCGTGACATTCCGAGAGTCACCACTAACCCTTTTTTGCTGTTACTCCCATTGAGGTTTTTAAAAGTAAAAATTAATTTGATGCTAGAGAGCAGTCAAAGAGTTTCAAATGTAAGAAAGTTTGGATTTTAGGATGTCATCCAATAGTGAAGTTGCCCTTTTCAACTACTAGTCATGACAAAATCTAAAAGTAGTTTTATATTTTATTAATAATTTGTTGAGCATGCTTGGGATCATGTAGAGTTACTGTACTCCTCACGTCAGGCTTGGGGCACTGCTGTGCAGCCCAGTTTGGGAGGCTGAGGTGGAAGGGTCATTTGAGCCCAGGAGTTCAAGTCTACCTTGTGCAGCATAGCCAGATCCTGTCTCAAAAAAGCAAAGTTAGGAATATAGCTCAGAGGTGGCGTGCTGGCCTAGCGCATGTAAAGTCCTGGGTTTTATCCTAAACGCTGCAAAACAAAAACAAATTAGTGGGCTCAGTGGCACAGCGCCTGCCTGGCAAGCGCGAGGTCATGAGTTCGATTCATGGTACCCAAAAAAACCCCCAAAAAAACAAAAACAAAAACAAATTAGTAATGCCAAAGTTAAAATCTGTCTCCATGATCTCCTGACATTACTGAGGTGCTTCAGACTTAAGTGTTTTATAACACTTCCATAACCTAGTACCTTGGTTTCTGAAGTTAAAGAATGTCTCTATAAGAGCAGGGTTGATTTCCATTATGATTATGAAAAATAGTATCTTGTCTGGAGGCATACTGTTAACAGAAGAGTAAGCTTAATTTTAACTTGTGTACCTCTCTTCCAAAATTTATATCCCACATTAAAAGGCTGCCTAACAAAGTATAAACTTTGGGTATTAGTAGAGCAAGCCTAAAGTTCCCTGATGTGTTTTTTGTTTTGTTTTGTTTTGTTTTGAGACAGAGTCTTGCTTTATAGTGCAGGCTGGCCTTGAACTCACTATGTGGCCCATGTTATCCTCGAACTTGTGGCGATCCTCTTGCCTCAGTCTCCCAAGTACTGGGATTATAGGCATGCACTACCATGCCCAGCAAGAATGTTTTGTTCTCTCTCTTTCTCTCTCTCTCTCTTTTTTTTTTGGTACCAGGAATCAAACTCAGGACCTTGTGTTTACCACACAGGCCTGTGCTGCTCAGCTATTTCCCCAGCCAAGAATGCGTTTTAAAATTAAGAAAGTATGAAAGCATTTAGTTTATTAAAGTCCACTATTGATTTTCTTCTAATCTTTAAAACATTGAAAGATTGTTTATTAGATACATTGTTTTACTAGTTGTTAAAGAGGAACTGATTGTGAATTGTTTTGAATTCGATTTCCTGTACCAAAACCAAAAATAAAAACAGAAAATCCAAACCAAACCATAACACTCCCCTGATGAATTGTTTTGGAAATCATACCTGATACTCATTCTTTTATTTGTATCTTTATTGAAGAACAGTTTACACATAGTAAGCTGTGTATATAAGTCTGTGTTTCCATAATCAAGACAGTGAACGTATGCATTGCTCCTTTGGTAATCTCCTGCTACCCGAGTCTCCGGGCATGTTGATAGGTTGGGATATTGTGAATAGAACTGCCACAGATGTTTGTGTGAGAGCACTTCCCTTGGGTAAAAATCTGAGAATTGAAAAGTTTAGTTTCTTTTTTCCCAATCAGATTTTATTGGTACCTTTCAAATATGCATAATGATGACATTCATCATAGAGAATTTGTACATGATATAACTTGATTCTTTTTTCCCCCTCTCCCCATCCTCCCTTCAACCTCTCCTCCCCGCTGCATTTACAAAAGCTTTGTTTCCTTTTTTCCTTTTCGCATTTTTAAAAAACTTTTCCCTTCTTTCCTCTTCCTCTCTCCCTTACTCCCCTTCTCATTTGAACATTTTCATCCTATTTCACAATACCTAATACACATTTTTGGTCCTTATGTACACTTTCAGTTTCTCACACCAGAGAGTGATTTATATATGTGTGTCCAATTTATTTCACTTGTCTCAAGCTTACCCTTCTTTATTGCAGAGTAGTATTCCATAGTATTAAAAAAAAAACCCACATCTTTATCCATTCGCCAGTTGATGGGCATTTAAGCAGTTTCCAAGATTTGGGTATTACAAACTGTAGCTTGGCTTGTTTGATAAGTGGACATTTAACTTTACAAGACATGGCCAGTTTCTTCTTTTGTTTTTTAAATGGCTGTACCAGTTTATATTCCTACCAACAATATAAGAGTACTAATTTTGTATTCTCTGTAACACTTGGTATGGCATTTTAAACTTTCTAATAGATTGGTTACAGCACTTCATTGTGTTAAAGTGCATTTTCTTAATACCTAGTGATGTTTATAGTCTGGTTTCACTATGCAGTTCAGGGTGGCCTTGAACTCACTTTGTAACCCAGGCTGGCGTCAAACTCACAGTGATACATCCTCCTACCTCAGCCTCCTGAGTGCTGGGATTACAGGCTTGCGCCACCACACCGAGCTTTATAGTCACGGTTTTGTGTCACACTGAGGATCCTCCAGTGATTGCAACACTATTTGTTGAAGATTCTGTCTCCAGTGAACTGGTTTTATATATGCATATATATGAATGTATGTGTATATATATATATTTATTCATAGTTGTATAAAGTTCCTATGAATACTGATTTAGTGAATATATTACTCCTTAGAAAAATTTAGAGTCAGGTGACTGTGAGCCTCTGATCATAACATTTTGTTACCTAATCAATACATAACCTTGTTCTGTGTGTGTCTGTTTTAGGACACCTTATTTAGTATGAAATTTTGACTGATGGGCTGGATGACCATGACTAATGCCTGGATGAAGCTTATCTAATGCGTGAAAAGCACATGCATATCTTAACATGAAGAAAATACATCTGTAACCTTGTGCTCAGGGACATTATACACCACATGAACACTTTGCTTGGGGGTGCTTTAAACATTGCACAGACACGCAAAAGGGGTGAGACTAAGTAGACACTTGTTTGTAGTGTGAGAGCTGAAGTCAGAAGGCAGAGTGCAGCCTTGTTTAATCTCAGGTGGGAATATTGAGCATTGGGCAGCTGATCAGCAGTGAAACGAGCATGAAAATTCCACAAACTCCACAACAATGATTTTGGGGTTATAAATAAATTTTAGCAAGTAGATGAAGTACAAATATATAATTCGTGCATAATGAATTAGGATTGTGCACGTGTGTGTATAAAATGTCTGTCTAGACTTCGTTTTCTCAGTATTGTGAGGAAGTTAGTTCTTCCCAAATTGATCAGAGATTCAATGCAAACAAAGCTAGAAATCCCAGCAACATTTTGTAGAAATTGAAGTTAAAATAGAAATGGAAAGGACATAGGATGGTCAAGAAAACCTTGACAAAGAAGAAAAAATTGGAGGCCTACTATTGGCTTATTTAAAACTTACGAAGCACAGGGTATGGTGGCACACGCCTATATTCCCAGTATGCAGGAGGCTAAGGCAGGAGGATCCTTGTGAGTTCAAGGCCAGCCTGGGCTACAAAGTGAGCTCGAGGCCAGACTGAACTGCATAGTGAGACCCTGTCTCAAAAAGACAAAAAACAACAACAACAAAAAACTTATGAAGCAGCAGTGGGATTGACATCAAGATAGACACATAGATTAATGACAAGAATAATGTCATTATGTACATCTGTCCCCAAAAGTATTCATTTTTTTTTTTCCTAAGCCAACATGTTAATTTGGTTGTGACATAAATAGTTCCCTTCCTGGGATCTTTACTCCCCCAGTTTAGATTTCAAAAGTGAAAGTTATTGAAACTCTTAAGATTGACCCCCCCCCTTGAGTAAATTTATCCTGTTATCTAATGGCTGATTCTGTTATCTAGGCAGATCCGGTCAGAAAACAAAGAAAAGAATGCAGTGATGTCTTTTACCGTTACAGATGAGCCTGTCTACATTGACTTGACTTTGTCGGAAAACAAAGAAGAGGTAAGTGGTTTGAAGGTTTTTTTTTTTTTTTTTTAAAGAAATGGCTTTGAACTTTATAACCTCATTTTTAGTATCAAAATATTATGAGAGAATAATGACAAAAATGTAACCAAAATCCTCTTAGATTGTCAAAGGAGTCATTAAGTCACTGTGATGGTTTCTTATGGGAGGAAAGGGAAACTATATACAAAGGTAGTACATTTTAAAATCGGTTTTGTGAATTAACAGAAGTTGTTGATAAGAGATTTTGTTAATAGGGTTACTTATAATCACATATTGCTACATCAAATACATTCTTAAATTCTGAATTTGTGTGGGTCCTAAGTAAGATGTATTTTGTTATAAGAGTGATACTTTCTTGTTTAATGCTTTTTTTGTATTTAAGGATTTCTTTATATAAAAGAATACATGTAAAAGAATATACTGAATATGTGATTTGCATATTTAGCATTAAATAAACCTAACTATTGAAGTTCTTCATATTCATGTTGCTGTTTGACTAATCTATGTAGGATTTTCATTTGGACACAGTCTTTTTAAATGAACACTCAAATTTCAATTTAAACCCAGTGTAAATTTTGAAAGCCTGTATTATGTAACACTCAAACTGGGGTTTAGAGATGAATCAGAAATTTTTCGTTGTGTTTTAATGTTTTTGAAAAGTGTAGTTGAAGGAACATTGGTTTAAAAATCAAAAGACACTGGTTTATATATTAGTTACACGCCTGTGCTAACACACTTGTGGAGTGCGAGTTGGGGTTTTGGTGAGATCAGTGAATTGCCTGTAAGGAGCTTTGTTTGCGTGGACCAGACAGGTCCACAAGATCCACAAGTCCTCCTTAGTACTTTTAAAAACCTATAATAGGAATCCAAACATTTTTTTTTTTTTTAATACATAGTCATGCTATGTAGTCCAGGCTGGCCTCAAACTTGCCGTGATGCTCTTGCCTCAGCCTCCCAAGTGCTGGGATCACAGGCATGTGCTACCGTGCCTGGCTTCATTATCTTTAAATAGACTAGTAAAATCCTTTAAAATTTTTCAGAGTGCTTTCAAAATGCCATGTTGGTCTTAAAACGTTTTCTCTACTTCAGTTTCTCCTGATGTAATGGTTACTCCTTGAATTCTCTTATTAAATTTATCACTTTGAATAGAGGTAGCAACTTTTTTAAGTGTTCCCTATTCACTTGAATGTTCTTTTAAGAAGTCTTCAGAGCTTTAAGTAAAATGTTGTGTAGATCCTTGGAGTGGTAGCGTAGCTGTATGTGTGGTACATAGAAGAATCCAGACCAAGAGGTTCTAAGAACTGAGAGTAGGCAGGAGGAAGGGCAGTGATGGAGTTTTTAGAATCCCATTCCAGCCATAGTTTCCAGCAGTCTTGATTGCTCTGGTTTGTGGGGCAGGGCAGGTCTATGTTGCTGCCCTCTGCACTTGGTAGTCACTTGGTTCATCTAACTTTGAAGCTGTGTTCTTGGTGCCAGTGTCATCTACAGATATTTACTTAGCTTCTTTTATTTTAACTTTTTTTTTTCTTTTTATTCTGAGACAGGGTTTCGCTGCGCAGTTCAGGCTGGCCTTGAACTTATTTTGTGTGTAGCCCAGGCTGGCTTGGAACTCCTCAGTGATCTTCCTGCCTCAGCCTCCCGAGTGCTGGGATTATGGATGTGCACCATCACACCCGGCTTCCTTTAGAATCTTGACGTCAACATTATTCTTGCTATGTTGTCAGAGATAATTATTTTTAAATACATCTTTACTGTTCTAAGTTTTTCTCTGCTTATGAAAAGGGATGGGCAGTATTGAGTTTTCATAAGTTAGATTGGAGGCTAAAGTGTGCCCTTCTTTAATCAGCAATATTTTTCTTTTAGCCTGTCAAGTTAGCTGTTGTGTGCAGAGATGGTCAAGTTCATCTGTTTGAACATGTGTTAAATGGGTAAGTTTTCAAGTCAGAAATTTATTTCCTATTACTTTTTCCGTAGTCTCCCCTCTTTGTTCTTTGTTGGATTATATTACTGTTCACTTAGATTTTTTTCAAGTTCTTTTTGCAGTACTGGGGATGGAAACCCCCCAGGGGCTTTGCATTGAGCTGCATCCCTAGCACTTTTTGAAGATTTACTGTTTCGTTTATTTATGAAACAAGGTCTTGCTAAGTTTTCCAGATGGGACTTGAGTTTATAGTCCTCCTACCTCAGCCTTCCACAGTGCTGGGGTGATAGGCATGTGCCACTCATTGCAGCTGGCTGGAAAGCATTGTTGAGCTTTTATCTGTATGAATATAGTCAGGGCTCGTGAACCATTTCTTTTATTTGCGTTAGGAGAGTGGTTTTTTGTTTTGTTTTTTGAGACTGAGTCTGTGTAGTACAGTTTGGCCGTGAACTTGAGATCCTCCTGCCTCAGCCTCCTAAGTGCTGCAATTACAAGCATGTGCCACCACGTCCAGCTCAGGAAAGTGGCTTTTTATGATGCATGCTTGATAAGTTCTAAAAATTAATTTTAAAAAAAGTTGCTCAGTTCGAGATTTGCTTGGCTACTTTGGTGATACTTTAATTCCGTCTTCCAGACTGCTTTAGTTCTCCATGCTTATGTATGTGGGGATCATAAACTGTGGCATTGGGGGTTTGATAGAGAGGGGGGTGGTGTTGGTGAATTTTGTGGTACAGTAGTCATAGGTCAGAATTTAGCAAGAAGTGCTAGAGGCCAGATTCATTAGATACCATCTGTGGCCTAAAAGTCTTGAAATATTTACTTCAGTCCCTTTACAGAAAAAGTTTTCAAACCTTGTTATACATTGTGAACATGGTGACAGTTATGTTAAATTTTAAAATGATTGCAACTTTTTACTGTCAGTAGCTATCCATATTAATATTAGCATAGGAATTTAAATACAGACTCATCATGAAAAGCAGAATATACTAATTTCCAAACATTCAGGAAATCTTGAGTCTGCGTGGAGTTCTCCTGGAGGTAACTGTTACTGTTACAGCTCGTGGCCCTTGAGGCTTCTGTTTTCATAGCGATGTATGTATATGGGATGTAGAATTGACTGGAGGGACTGGGGCCCAGAAGTAGTGGGCACTGATAAGCCATTGACAGGTGTTGGTTAGAGGATTAGTGAGGTTTGATCTTTGGTTTGTTTTTGTTTTTGTTCTTTTTGAGACAGAGTTCAATTCAGTTCAGGCTGGCCTTGAGCTCACTTTGTAGCCCGGGCTGGCCTCGGACTCGCAATGATCCTCCTGTCTCAGCCTCCTGAGTGCTGGGGTTAGAGGTGTGTGCCACCATGCCTGGCCTGGCCTATGTTTTAAGCAGTCATTCTGTGTTATATGTTGGAAGTAGCCTAAAGAGATGTGAAGGCTGAAGGAGAGATGCAAAGTCCTGGGACTAGAGATAGTTTTGGAGTCAGGATACCTGAAGGGAATGGGTTAGAAAGAGAGTTATAGAAAGATACGCTTAAAATTGAGATAATAGAGAATGTTTGCTTACTGGGAATAAATTGTAATTAAGATGTCTCGAGTGAGGAATGTGTGGTTGAAAAACAGTGAAGGGATATGATCATTGGAGGTAGAAACTGAGAGACTAGAGTTTCACAAACGTCTTTGTCCTGGATGCTGAGTATGAGAGTCTGTAAGAAAGGAATTCAGCAGTAGTGTTGGGAAGAAAGACAGTGACCTTTGAAATCTTTAGTAAATATGGGGTAGTGAGCCAGGGCTGGCAGGAGGAAGTGAGGTAGCTGATGTTGGTGACAACAATTCAAAGGTTTTGGGGGTAAAATAGAGAACAGTGTCTTGAAGTTTTCCTTGGAGAATAGGGAGCACACTTAAATCATGTCTAAGGCTCTGGCGTAAAGGATGTGGGAGAGAAAATAGCTACAACTTGGAAGGGCTGCAAGGATGAGCCAGGGTAGAGCAATAAGGTAAAGTGTGCCCTTAGAGAAGACGTGGAAGGTGTAATCTATTACTGGAGCTATAGTGCAGAGGATGTGGTAAGGCTTTTAGGGGTTGGGAGTAGTGGGCAGTGAGCACTGGCTGGAAGAGGCACATACGTAAGAGCTGTGGGAGCTTGGAGCTTCCTGTTGGAGCAGGCGAAGTGGAACAGATTGGTAGGCACTTGCCAAGGCTCATTTTGGTAGGGAGGTGTTGGTGAGGCAAATGGAGCATTGAAGGGCCCCTTGTGCACCAGGGGCCTGTCCACTCACAGCAGTAGTGGGGAGGCTAGCAGATGATTGTGTTTCCTGACTTGATGCCAGCATCTGAGAATTAGTAGGTGCCATTTCAGATTCTCTAATCTTACTTTATTTTATTTTTTTTTACATTCCTAGACACTGCAAAAAGCCTTTAACTTCAAACTGCACAATTCAGATAGCAACGCCTGGGAAAGGCAAGAAATCAACACCAAAACCCATCCCTATTCTAGCAGCTGGATTTTGCTCAGACAAAATGTCCTTGTTGCTTGTGTATGGCAATTGGTTTCAGCCTACTATTGAGCGAGTGGTACGTAGATGCTTCTCTGGAGAAAAGCAATGCAGCATCAACCTGTCTATTGGAGAGAATGATTTTAACAGTGACACTACTGATCACTGACCACTATTTACCAGAGTACTTACAGAAAAATAGTGTAGTCTGTAATCAGTGGTCCTTTCACTGGCTGGTTTATTTTATTTTTTAATTTTAAAGAACTTTAATACAAGCTTAATATAAACTATTTCGGTGCCTCTTAACATGTAAGACACTGACTCAAAATATTTTAATAGGTTTTTTCAAGTATTGTACAATATAAGTACAAAATTTATAGTTACTATTGCATTTTGTTCCATAATATATAGCAAAAATCTTTAAACCTTTAACAGAAAATACATTTTTTTGGAAAAAGCAAATATTCATACATTTACTTGGTGGTTTATTTTAATTTGTGAGAATCCTGTTTTATTCAGCATAACGTATCTAAAATAGCATTGTCACATGGAGGGGTAAAGGGATAAAGCATTATGAAGGTTTACTCCTCCTTGTTGTATTCTGTCTGGGAAATCTGGTGTGTATTGTATATTTTAAAACATGAGTTTGGAGTAGCCATAGTTCACATGCTTAGTAGCTAGCTGCATATTTGTAATAACTAGTGTAGGATCAGCACAGGTATGACTTGTATTGAATCACATAAAATGTAAGTTTCAGCAGTAGGAGCCCTTAGTGATAGTATCCTTTGGAGTTTCTTTTTTTTTCATGGTGTTTTTCAGACATGGTCTCACTATCCAGTTCAGGCTGGAGCCTTGAGCTCATTTTGTAGCCCAGGCTGGTCTCGAACTTGCAACTATGCTCCTGCCTCAGCCTCCCAAGTGCTGGGATTACAGGCGTGCACCACCACGCCCAGCTCACCCTTTGGAGTTTCTAGGTAGAAGTGTAATGGGCAATACAATGACTTTCTGTTGTTTACCACAGAAGTTTCTCAGAAGACTTATGAGTTAGTAGCATGTCGAGTAGGTGATTTCTTAGGGTTGCATTTATAGTACTTAGTAAGTTCCTCAGGGAGACTTCGAGTAAAATATTACATGGCCAAACAAGCTTTTGTTGGGTTTATGAAGAATACTTTCCCCCCGCCCCGCTATGGTATTGAGGTTCAAACCCAGGGCTTCGTACATGTTTGGCAAGTACTCTACAATGCTCTATACCCCCAGCCTAAAGAAAACTTTAAAAACATTCAGTATGTACCCATGGCTTTATTTTTTAAAAAGAAGAAAAGTGTGAAGCTCTAAATGCACCTTGCCATATGTCCCTGTAGCTACTGTTACCTGTTCTGTCCTTGCAGATGTTGGTTATACATACAGTTACACATGATGGTTTGCTGCATATGTCCCCTCTCCCCCTACAGGTCCTCCTCAGAGCATTTTGTGTATGAGCAGTGCTATCTTTAACTTGCTTGTAGGAGATTTTCGAATAGAACTATTTATTTTGAACATAGATTTTTTTTCTTTAACAAGGATAATCATATATGTTTTCCTTAAAAATCTGCTGTTAAAATAATCTCTTGACCTTTCAAAACTTACAGATGTGAAAAATTCAAGCTGAATGTTCATACAGAGAGAACTATGTACTTTGCCCAGTGTTTTCATATTTTCACCATTTCTTCAGCTGCTGTCAATCTGAGTGGTGTTTATGGTTGGTTACTAGTTCAGTGTTGAGCCCTACTCTTTTTTTTTTTTGAGACAGAGTTTTGCTCTGTAATTCAGGCTGGCTTTGAACATCTAGTAGCCCAGCTAGCTTTGAATTTGTGGTGATCCTCTTGCCTCAGCCTCCAAGTGGTGGGACTGCAGGTGTGTGCCACTGTGCCCGATCTCATGTTGAGCCCCTCCATGCTTTTTAAAAATACTTTTATAAAAATGCAGTAAGTCATTGTTTTTTATTTTGTTTTTATTTCCAGCTAATTTGTTTGACACTCTTTTTTCCTTATCTCCCTCCTTTTAAAAATGTATTTCCAGGCTTTAAACTCCAAAGAACCTCATATGTGTTTAGTAAGAGATATTTCAAACTGCTGGGCCCCAAAAGTAGAAACGGCCATAACAAAGGTGAGTACATTATAAATTTGAAATTGGGAAGAGATTTGGGTGAATTGAATTATAGTAATATATTTAGGCTGCCTTAATCTTATCTTTTTATAGTTTAATGTCCTATTGGTTATCTTACAAATTTTGTAGATTATGGTCTTAGATAGCAAGATTATAAAACTATTTCTATACTCTTACTTTGTTGACTGAGTGGATAGATAGTGGGTTTAGTTCCTCCCTCCTCACTGACAGTGTTTGCCTGGGCAAGAAAATATGTAGGAATAAATATAAAACTTAGCAGTGAATGACTTTTATCAGGGCTGGGGATAAAGCACTTTTATTAAGTGCTGCCCAGTGGTGCAGCACTTGCAGACCCTGAGTTTGATTCCTGGTACCAAAAAAAAAGGAGACTCACCCCCTGACCAGAAAAAATTATCAATCTCACTACTTAAAGAGCATAACCTTGTTGGAACCAATGCCGTATTTCAGGGTGAAATAAAATGGGTCAAGAATTTATTAGCATGTGTAAGAGCATCATTATGACACCCCACTTTGAGTGTAACAGATTCTGTGTGTAAAGTCCTATGTTCGGCAGTTTAAGGAGAAAAGGAAAAGCTAGGATATGCTATGATGACACCCACATGGTTTCGCTTCTGGCTGAGTTTCAGAGATGACACTTCTCTTGGCTGTCTGAGCATTTCTGGCAAAGAATGAATTCTGGTAGTAGTCATAAAACTTAATGTGTCATTTTTAAAAATCATGTCTTTGCATAATCTGTAGATTTTGTTTTTCTTGGTTTTTACTCTTAATGAGGTATTGGAAGCTTTGAAACCATAGACTTTCAGGTTATCATTTGAAAACTTATTTGCCCACATCTTGTTAAAATTTATATTGAATTTCCTTCATGGTAAGTAAATCACATTGAGTTTTCTAATATGAAAGCTTCTTGAAAACTGTTTTCTCATTGAGGAAGCATATGAACTAAGGCATCAATTTTTTTCTGCATCCCTGATGTCTGTTTCACAGGTGAGGACACCTGTGATGAATTCTGAAGCGAAAGTTTTGGTGCCTGGGATTCCTGGGCATCATGCAGCTATCAAGCCGCCTCTTCCACACACTGAGGAAGTAGAAAGCAAGCGGAAGTTAGGGGGAAATGAGGTAATGCAACCACTTTTACCAGATACCTGTGTTTGGGATGTAAGAATGCTTGGAAGAGTCCAATAAGGATATTGAAAAGAGCCAAAGTTAAATCCCTTGAAATGTGCAGAGATTGCTGTTGTTGCACTCGCATCATCCCAGGCAGCTTAGGTTCCAGAAGTGTACTTTTTTTGAGATGGGGCCTCACTGTATAGTTCAGACTGGCCTTGAGCTCACTGTGTAGCCCAAGCTTGCCCTTGGACTCACAGTGATCCCCTTGCCTCAGCCTCCCAAGTGCACCACACCTGGCTGGTTCCAGAATTGTGATCGTCGCCCTTGCAAGATGCAGTTGGTCACTGTTCAGAGAAGGTGGAATTTATACTAAGTTAAATTCAGCTGTTAAGAGTTGGATGACATAAAATCAGGTAAATGAAGCTGGGATTTGCTGTGATGACTTCCAGTGGGTTTCGCTTGTTTCTGAGGGCCAGTGATGCCTCTCTCTTGGCTGTCTGAGCAATCCTGCCTGGTTTTGTGTTGGTTGGTCTTAATCAAACGGCTATAATTGCTTATTGTGCTTATAAACTTCATTTTTTTCTGTGCACCCAGAGCCCTTTTTGGTTACTGTGTGTACTGATTCAGAGTCTTGTCATCTTCTATTCACATTTTTTACTCTTAAGGAATCTAGAGCTATAGTGACTTTATCCAAGGAAAAGATTGTTTCTTTAGCTGTTTTTAAACATCTGTTGGACGGAGGAGTTAGGCATAACCGTTCATAATGAGATTCTATTGGAAGGAGATATGAATTACTATTTTTTGCTTACAAACTACATTTGCCTACAAATTAGGCCTTGTCTTGTTAACATGAACAGGTATCATTTCTTTTCTGTAGGTTAGCATTGAAGAGCGCCTGGGAGCCATGGACATAGATGCAAAAGAGGGGAAGGATGACCTTTTGCAGACAAATAGTTTTCCAGTTCTGCTCACCCAAGGCTTAGAAAGTAATGATTTCGAGATGCTAAATGTAAGTATTACTGTGGTTTTTCAGTGAATTACAGTGGTTAGTTCTTCTTAGGTGACATAGCCCACTTAGAGTGAATAGTCATGTTATATTGCAGTGTTTAGTTTGCTGTCGTGTGAGGTTAGTCAAATGTAGGTAATTTGGTGGCACTATACACCCGGTCACTAACCTGCAGTGGGAATGTGTTAAATTCTTTTCAACCTGGAATGCATTTTCTCATAGAAATATTGTTTTTAATTGTTAGGGTTTTAGGCTTTAGTTCACAAAAGCCTTTATATACATAGTATAGCTGAACTGTAACACTCAGCATTCTAGATCACAATTTATATTTTTTTCTGTAGGAAAATGCGTTCCTGAGTTTTTACTCTGGATTCCAGAAACTTATTTCCCCCTGGCCGTGAGAGGGGGCGGTGAGGTGCAACCTTGGCAATGGGTAGGAGGTTCCAGGGGAAATTCCAGAGGGTTGGGGGTTATGTTATAAAATATTTAGAAGAAAAATATTAGAAATTGTATGAAGGGAGGCACTTACAATTTCTTTGTAAGTTGGTGACTGCTTGTATGAAGTTATTCAATTTAGTCCTTATAAATTTCAGTATTACAGTGGTCTATGTCAAAAATTCAATTCTGAAAAATAATTAAAATACCACCTGATGAGATGAAAGTAATTTATATCTTTAAGTGCATTTTTAATGATTCATAGCAGTTTTATAGTTTTAGTATAGATGTGACTATTCTGTAACCTGTGTATGGTGTCTCTGATTTTACGTGATCTAAGTGGGAATATGTTACATTTGTGCCCAAGGTGACTTTGCAGAATGAGAGTAGAAACCAGCAGGTCTAAAAACCTAAAATTACTTTTACAGTAATGTGTGAATGCATGTGTTTTAGAAAGTAGACTGTGGCTTAGAAACCTAGTTGAGGGTTTGATGAAAAAGAAGCTATAAGACATAATTGAGAGTATGTTTGGAATGTAATAAAATTTATTTGCCATCATTGCTTATGTAATTATGCCTTGAAACTTCCTTCTGTAGGTAAATCAGCTACCAATTTTTTCTTTCTTAGAACAGTGTAGTGGATCACCAGGAACCCATTACTGAGCTTCAGAAGTTTTCAGCAGTAGGATTTTAGTAGCCAGTGTATCATGGGCTCATTTGTATGCCCATGTGCCTCCCCAGGTTATGGTGAAGCAGTTCTTAAAAATGATTTAACATAGATACAGCCCTGTTCAACTTAAAAACTCCTTAGAAAAACATTGTTACAATCCATTATCATGCATAAAGGAACAAGCAATAATTCTTTAAACTTTAGTGTTTACATTCCCTAATCTTAATAAATACCAATTTCAGTTTTTTGGTGTAGTTTATTCAAAACAGAATCCTAAAACGTCTACACTGTATATATGGCCCTTCTGTGCAATTTTCTTGTTAGAGAAGCTGTGTTGTTTTCCCAGTATGGTCCCACATGCTGGATATTGCTGACTGCATCTCTGTATTATGTGTGTTGTTTGTTCATCATGTCTTCTATAGTTAGATCTAGAAGCTCAAAGAGATTCAGTTTAGACTCTTGGCGAGAACCCATCAAAGATGTTAGCGTATGACTTATTGGATATCAAAGAGCAAAAGAAATGGTATTTATGAAAACACTTAAATTATAAAGATTCTTGTTTGAGTTAATTTATTTAGAAGTAATTGGAATCTAGTGGAATAAAAAATTACGTGCTAGAAAAGACTGTAAAAGTTATAGTGAGGGGATCTTAAAATACTTCATTTTAAAAAGCAAAAGTATGGAAATATTCCCATAGCATATTATGTAAGAGATTGTACATTTACACATTTCACACTCTAAAAAGGAAGAGGTGAGTAAAAGCAAGCAATATTTTTCCACTAACAACGACCTTCCCATTCCCAGAAGCTGCCTTACGAGGGTCCATGTCGGAGGACATTGAGTAGGAACGAGCAGAGTGAGCAGTAGGGTGCAGCACGGGAGCTTCTGGGAAGAGAAAGACATTAGAACCTGCCGTTACGTATGAATCTAGGAAGGGAAAGGTAACCCAGTGCAATAATCTGTAGCTTATACACAAGACAATCCTAGTTATTTGTGTAACTTATGGCATAAGCAGAGATAAGTATTTAAATATTTTCAAAAAGTTACCCTTGTGATAGTATGTAGTATCAAAGTCACCTAGAATAAATCTAGAACAGATGATTATATCTCTGTGTTGAAAATTATAACAGTTGGGAGAAATCAATGATGACTTAAGGAAATGGAGTTCTAAGCCATGTTTTTATGGGTTAGAATATTTGGTGTTGTTACAACGAGGAATTATCTCGTAGTTAGTCTTTATATTCAACTCTTGCCCATTAAAATTCCAGCAGCCATGGTCAGTCACCTTTTAGAAATCCAGCTGGGCATGGTGGCGCTTGCCTGTCATCCCAGCTGTTTGGGAAAAAGTTTGCCGATTGGAGATCAGTGTGGGCAACCCTTCTTAACCATACATTTTAGAAAAAGAAGAGAAGCTGAGGATGTTGTTCAGTGGTAGAGTGCTTTCCTAGTATGTGTGAGGCCTTGGTTCAACCCCCAGTATTACTTAACAAAAAAAAAAAGAAAGAAAGAAAGAAAGAAAGTGGTTAGAACCTGCCAAATCTTAAATAAATAATCTTAAATAAATGTGAAATCTTAAATAAATCTTAAATAAATCTTAAATAAATGTGGAAGTACAAAGGACAAGAAATAGACAAGGCAACAGTAACATAAAGGGTAAGTTGAATGAATTAGCAAATCTGATTTTAAGGTAAGGTGTGTAATCAAGATAGTGTAATATTGGTGGGGAAAAAAAACAGATTAAGGAACCAAAAATAGACTGCACACAATTGGGAAAAAGTAATCTCAGCTTGAATTTATGCAAGACCCATTGTAAAATGGACCATAGACCTTATTATAAAACATAAAACTGAACTTCTAGAAAAAGCTTTGGTTTCTAGGATACAAGGAAACATTTCAAAAAGCTTGAAAAGTTGACATAGAAGATAGTTATTTGAACTTCCTCAAAATTAGAAACTTGTAGTCTTTTTATTTTGTTTTCTGAGACAGGGACTCACTATGTAGGTCAGGCTGGCCTGGAACTCTGCAGTCCTCCTGTCTCAGCTTCCCAAGTGCTGGCATTACAGGCATTTACTACTACGCCTGATGGAAACTTGTATGTTTGAAATAATAATGTTGGTGTGAAAAGACAGGCAGTACGCTGGGAAAAATATTTTAACTTATAATCAGACAAAGGGTTGTTATCCACAACTGTTATCTAGGTTGCCCTTGAATTTGTAGTACTTCTTGAATCTCAACCTTACAAGTGCTGGGATTACAGGCATATCCAATCAGGCCTGGCCAAAGAACTCTTAATAATAGACTTAACTCAAATTTTAAAAATCAGTAAAAATTTGAACAAATACTTTATAGAATTGAAATGGAGAATAAACCTGGGTAAACATATTATGTCTTTAATCATCACAGAAATGCAAATTAAAACCACAGTGCCACGGCACTATATGTTTGTTAATGATTGATTAAAATTAAAAAGAGCATCTGTTGAGAACATGGTGCACCTAAGACTTATGTCCTTCTAGTAGGTACAGCTACTTTGGAAAACAGTTCGGCAGCTTATTAAAAGTTATATATACCTACCATATGATTCAGCCATTCTGTTCCTAGGGTTTTTCATTTTTGTTTCGGTACCAGGAATTGAACTAAGGATCTTGCCCTTGCCAGGCAGGTGCTGCACCTCTGAGCTATATTACCAGCCCCAGTTTTTTTTTTTTGAGACAGCGCCTTGCTTTATAGTTCATCCTGGGCTTGAACTCATAATGTACCCCAGATTGGCCTCAAACTCACTGTACACCTCCTGCCTCAGCCTCCCAAGTACTGAGATTACAAGCATGCACCCTTCCTCCACTCTCCTCCTATTTATTTATCAAAGAACATATGTTCATGACAAAGACTTGTACATGAATATTTATGGCTACTTTATTTGTAGTAGCTGAAAACTGGAAAGGACCTGTAATACCCCTCAATAGATGGATAGATAAATTATTTACATCCCTAAACAAGGAATGTATTGTTGTTGTACAGACAACATGGGTAAATGTCATATTTATGCTCTGAGAAACAAAACAGACTGAAAGGGGCCATCTTGTGATTCTGTTTATGTGAAAATCCTAGAAAATGCAGACGAACACAATAAGTGTGGTGGTATACACCTGTAATCCTGGCACTTGGAAGGCTGATTATAGGTTTGAGGCCAGGCTGAGATGTATAGCCAAACTTTGCTGAAAGAAAGACAAGAAAATACTGTGTAGACCAATGTGTAGTCCAGTGGCTGCCTGAGGATGGAAGTTAATGGGGAGGGAGAGATTACAAAGGGGCCTAAGGAAGCTTAAGGGTAGTATTAATTTTCATCATAATGTTTGTTTTATGGGTAAATATGTTCATTAAACTGACAAATAATTTTTTAAGAGAATTTATTTTCTGGCTCTACTATTTTATTTTATTTTTTTTAAGTCTTTTTCAGTCAGGGCTTCACTATGCAGTTCAGGCTGGCCTTGAACTCACTTTGTAGCCCAGGCTGGCCTCAGACTCACAGCAGTCCTCCTGCCTCAGCCTCAGATAATGTTTTTAAACATGTCTGTTATATGTCATTTGTGCCACAGAGAAGTAAAAGCAAAATTTCATCTTCTATATCATCTTCCTGATAGTTAATAATTTTGGTTTATAGAGTCATTCCTTAAATGTAGCCTTGATAGAAGTTAATGATACTGACTTCTCTGTCCACTGTCATGTAGCTTAGTTTTGGGGAAGTTATTTATAGCTGCTTTTTTTAAAAATTTGAAGTTGTTACCGTAGAGCCTTTGTTTTCAGTGGGCATAAAAAGTATCCCAGAGTTTGTTAAAAGTCTTTTGCAGTTTGTGATGACTTGTAATAGGCCTTGCTCTCATACTTGGCTTCTGCAGTTCTGGTTTATACCTCTGGTATTTGTGGATTTATTAGTATCAACCCCTTCTGTTTCAAAAAGTGTCCTAGTTTGGACAACAAATTTTATGATAACTATATTTATAGCATTAGTGGATTTCACAAACCACATATCTTTTTTTTTTGTGTGTGTGTGTTTTTGAAACAGTCTCCCTGTATAGTTCAGGCTGGCCTTGAGGTCACTGTGTAGCCCAGGTTGGCCTTGAACTCACAAGGATCCTCCTGCCTCAGCCTCCCCAGTGCTGGGATTACAGGTGTGTACCACCACACCTAGCCAAACCACATATCTTCAGCACTCCATTATGTATATTTTTTGTGCTGCTAGGGATGGAACCCCGTGTCTCACATCACACATGCTAGACAAGTGGTCTGCTACCAAGGTACATGTGCAGCCCCATTATTTCTCTGTCTCTGTCTCTGTCTCTCTTTCTCTGTCAGTCTGTCTGTCCTTCTTTCTCTTTGAGACAGGACCTCACTGTGTAGCCTATGCTGGCCTCTTAATTTGCATGATCCTCCTGCCTCAGCCTCCAGATTGTTGGGATTAGAGGCTGGAGGCACCACACCCAGCCCCATTATCTCTCTTAACCAAGCTTCTGGGTTAAGTAATGGGCAACAACAAATTCTGCATTAAATTCCATGACATAAAGCTCTGCCACCCTATTTGGCCACCTAAACAGTGAAGACTGGTGGTTTAGGTGAATGTCTTACGAAAATTGAAGGCCCTAACAAAAGCATGATGTTCTCAAAAAGTAATTTGTGGAGTAGTTCATATAGAGTGCGTTCTATAGTTTCTTGAACCTTGTGCTTGAGATTTATTTGAGGAATACTCATTAGGTACCTTTGTTAAATTGTCCTGGAAATCTTGTATTTTGGTCATTTGAAAATGAAAGTTGAAGCTAATTGTAACTGCTGTGTGAAATCACAGCAGTCCATCCCTCCCTTTCTCAGTGATTATGTACAATGTTTCTTTTGCATAAGAAGCTTTGTAGTTATGAGGTTAATTTTAAAATAGTATTGGTGTACTTAGAAAGAGTTGAGATAAAGATAGTTTTACAAGCAAATAAAATCCATAGTGAATTCTAAAAGAATATGTTAGGGGCTGTTAAACTGGATTGAGCAACCTCTAGTACCACCAAAATAAAAAAAGAAAGAAAAAGAAAGATTGGAAACTCCTACTTTGTTACTGCCTTTTAGTAGGATTGCTGTTTATATTTAAAAGCGTTGAAGAGCAAATCAGAGACCTGAAAGAACCCTTACTCCCCTCTCTTTAGCATGTCAGGCTCAGAAGCTAAAGTAGATGCCTAGGCCCATGAGGCTGCAGCTTTCAAGGCCAGACCTATGACTGTGTCAGTGTTGTGACCCTTTTTCTATGACCCAGAATGGAGGCTAGTTTTCTCTTGTGGATCTAGCCATGAGGAGAATTTGAGTGGAACACTTATGTGGTCTTTATTTGGTTTGGCAATTTAAAGAGGTTTCTTGCTAAGTGTGATTTTACTGCTTTGTTCTCTCTTATGGGTACAGTACAGCTTTAATTTAATAAAATGAAGACTTGGACCCTGTGTAGTGGCGCACACCTATAATCCCAGCCTTTGGGAGACAGAAGGATTGCTTTGAATTCTAGGACAGCCTGAACTGCATAGGGACCCTGTTTCAAACCCCCATTGCCCTCGAAAAAGGAGGCTTGGTATTATCTCTAAAATGGTATATATCTGTATGTAAATTACTAGATACACTCTTTTGTATTTTATATAAAAAATTGGTAAGATAAATTTCCTGGTAGGCACAGATGTAAGACATTCTCTGTTCATTCCCTGCAGTTTTGATTTGGTAGTTTATTGCTTTAGTTGTTTTATATCATTTTTACAGTTTTTCTGACAGTGACCCTAGTTTATAAGTATGCTTATCTTAATGATTGTTTTATTTGCTCACAGAAAGTACTTCAAACTAGGAATTTAAACCTGATAAAGAAGACTGTGTTAAGGATACCCTTGCATGCTGTTATCCCATTGTTACAAGAGGTAACTACTATCTCTTTCATTTTAAGGTTCTAATGTGATGAGTTAAAGGGAACAGCCAGGATATAATGAAGTGAATATGGAAGGACAAATGGCATTTAGAGAGTGGGACATGAATAGGAGGAGAGGGATTTGGAAGGAAAAAGTGAAATTGGTGAATTCTTGAGACAAAAGAAATACGATGGCCATTTTTATATTCCACTACCAATGAATGTTACAATCTCCTCAGCATTTGGAACCTTAAAGGGAAGCATAGAATGTTGTGTTTATAGGATGTCATCTATGTAAGGGTAACCGGAATAGAAAAACTGATGTGGAGTCCCCACATACTTTGAGTTTTCCTGTTTTGTCCTGTGAGATACTCTCAATATCAAAACCACTTTTGTGTGGTTTGGTTTTCTTTATTGTAAATGTCTCTGCTTGGCAGTGTGGAATGGGAGAGGGCATTAAGATTAGAGTAGTATGGTCGCTGGCCTGTGTATAGGTAATCCTCACTGTTTCTGACAAGTGGTTGGCCTGTCCTTGCTTAAGGAACTCTGCTTAACAGTGTTAAGAAAGGGCTGGGTAGTAGCTTGACAAGGGAATGGGAATGGGGGTGATGGGGCATGGAATGCCCTGAGTGGCACCAAGGAGCCAGTTCCCAGCAGTCAGTTCCCAGCCTCTGCCCAGTGAAAGTAGTGTCCTGAGGTTTGTTGTATGTTGGCTTCGTATAATTTTGTAGGCGTTAGTTACCTTAGGGAGAATCTTTTTCTGTGTTTAATAGTATACGTAATTCCACTGAAGCATTAAAAGAGTAGGTACAAATTATTAAAAAGATAGAATGGATTTGTTGTTATTAGGACCAATACTCGGATAGCATTTGACATGCTGAAGTATGAGTCATGTGAGTTGGTTTACCATCATTGGTAGGGAAATCCTCTATTTAAAAAAGCAGTGTCATCTGTTAGAAGAGTTGAGTTGTATGTTTTCAGAGTATTATCTACTCTAGCAAAATTTGCCTAACCTGGAGTTTTTAAAATATGTTTTAAAAAATTTAAGATATAATTAACACATAGTGCAAGTCACCCTTTTAAAGTGCACAGATCAGTGTTTTATTTTCTAAATTTTATTTTATTTTTTAAATATTCCCTTTATTAGTGCATGTTTGCATTACATGTTTGCATTCCTCGTGGGGGTTGGGACATGTACATAACACCTCTCGCTTGCTCTTCCATCCCCATCCCCTCCCCTCCCTGCACTCTCCCTCCATCTGTTGAGCCCTTCTTTCTATTATCTAATATTTTGCTCTTTATATTTTGTTTTCTTGTATTAGAGAAACCATGTGATATTTAAACTGGTGTATCTGATTTATTTTGCTTAATATTGTGGTCTCAGGATGTACATCCATTTTTTTCCCCATCCATTTTTCTGCAAAAGACTAATCTATCTTTCATTGCAGAGTAGTAAGTACCACATTGCGTGCAAATACCACGTTTTCCTTATCCATTCATCTGTTGATGTATATATAGGCTGCTTCCAAGAGTTAGCTGTTACAAATTGTGCTGCTGTAAACATGGGTTTGCATGCGTCACTGTAACATGGTGTCTTTGATACCTAGAAGGTGAAGAGCTGGGTCACATGAAATTTCTAGGTTCAATTTTTTTTTGAGATAGGTTCTCTCTGTGTAGTCCGGGCTGACCTCGAACTCGTGGTAATCCTCCTACCTCTGCTTCCCGCGTACTAATATTACAAGCATGAGCCACCATGCCAAGCTTAGGTTCAATTTTTTGAGGACTTCCCATACTTATTTCCATAGTGGTTGTACTGGTTTACGTTTCCACCAACAATCAGAAGGATTCCCTTGTCTCACAGCTTTGGAGCATTTGTTATTTGATTTCTTGATGAAGGCTGTTCTTGGCACAAAATAGAATCTCAGTATTATTTTAATTTACATTTCTCTAGTGGCTAGTGGTGTTGAGCATTTCTTCATGTGTTTATTGGCAGTTTGTACTTCCGTGAAATGTTTATTCCTTTCACTTTCTTTGACTGGGTCTTTTATTAGGGGGGTAATTTTTTGAATTCTTTATATATTGTAAATACTAATTCTCCAAGAAATAGCAGGCAAACATTTCCCATTCTGCAGGTTGTCTTTTTACTCTGTTGCGTATTTTGTTTTTCCTATGCAGAAGCTTTTTCATTTGATATGATCCCATTTGTTGATTCTTGGTACTATTTCCTATGCAACTGGGGTTCTGTTCAGAAAGTCCTTTTCTATGCTGTGACTTCAAGAGTTTTACCTAATTTTATTGTCTAGCAGGTTAAGTGTTTCTGTTTTAATATTTGGATCTTTGATCCATTTTGATTTTAGTTTAGCACATGAGGTGAGAGATATGGAACTAGATTTAATCTTCTGTATGTGGATAGCCAGTGTTCCTAACACCATTTATTAAAGAGACTACCTTTCCCCTAGTGAATGATTTTGGCCCCTTTGTCAAAAGATCAAAGAGTTGAATTCGCTTGGTGCTTAAGTTCTTATTTTTATTGTACATGTTTATAATATATAATGCTCAACTTTCATGAGTTGGTACATGTACATAACACATCTTAATTCTTTTTCCTTTCCTTTCCCCCACTCATTTGCAAAAGATCTATCTCCCTGTTGCCTACTGTCTGTTTTTACTTTGTTCTTTATTTGTCCTTTGGATTGTCAGTTTTTTAGTGTGTTTCTGTGTCATGGAGTTGTCGTTACCCAGAGAAGTCCTTGTACACATTAGTAGTGATGCCCATGTCCTCTTCCTCTCAGTTATTGGTAATCACTAATTTATTTTTTGTCTCCATGGATTTGCTTGTTCTGGACATTCATTTATATAAAGCCTAGATTTCTATCAAGTAGTTGCTCTTCTTGGAATGAATTCAAAGAATATATTATGTTGGTTGAAAGTATCACAGTCTTTGTGTCTTAGGAATTGATGGAGATTGATTGCTTCTGCATTACTTTTGCTAATCATGTTTTTCTCTCCTGCAGCTTACAAAGAGGTTACAAGGCCACCCTAATAGGTAAGATATTTATATCGCTTTGAATTTTCTTGTTTTTATAAGTAAGTTAGTGATGATTGTGAAAATAACTTCTAATGGTATGAAATTAAATATTGGGTAGCACTATATCCAAATAGAATTCCTGTGTCACATTCCCCCTTCATTTTAAGTTGACTAATTCTTAGTTAAGATTTTATAATGTAATTTTCTTTTAGAAAATGCCTATGTTTTTATATTTTATCAAGTCATTTAATTAGTCATTTAATAATTTAGTATTAATCGTACAAAAACTAATTTATATAATTTGCCTAGCCTTTAGTTGCTGTTTAAGATTCTGTAATTAAATAGTTTAAGGGCTGGGGTTGTAGCTCAGTGGTAGAGTGCTTGCTTAGCATGTGCAGGACTCTTAAGTTCAATTTCTAGCATTGCCAAAATTAGTTTTGTTTAGGTAATAGGCTAAATTTTGTGGGTGTTTTTGTAGATATTTTGATTACATTTAAACAGGAAGTCGATATCAGATCTCAAGCTTGTAATATGGTATTGCTATCTACGATGTATAGGGTCTCCCCAGCCCTCTCCCCCCAGTAGAACTCCATTAGCTTTCTGAGCTCACAAAAGAGGAAAGCTAAAGAGTTCAATAAATAGGACTGGCTTTCACCGTTTGGTCTATATTTGCTGTTTAATACTGGTCTGGAAGACTTCCGTTTGTTTCTGACATTGAATAGATGGTGGGATCAATAGTCACGAAAATAAAATGCAAAATCAACTGAGCTTAGTTTGGATGGAGTTTACTACTTTGGTATTAGTTAATTACTCCTGAATTGTTTTAGAGGAAGATTTTTTTGTCCTATTTTCCAGTTTCTCCCTACCTGCAAGAAGTGTGTGTTTTACAGGAGTCTTAGGCTCAGCAAAAAACCAAAAAGGATTGAAGTAACAGTCATTGATTTGTTATGGTCTTCTTCACAGAGCACAAGTTTTAGATCCTCACTTGCCCATCAGGATTTTTCTAACTTTATAATTCTGTTGTATTTAATTTCTGATTCATAAACATTTTTCTTTTCCAGTGCTGTTTTAATGGTTCAGTGGCTTAAATGTGTATTAACGGTTCATGCATCATACCTGTCCACAGTAAGTCTTTTCTCAGTACAAGTAGTGTGGCTTTGATGAGCATTACAGACTTTGACTAAGAGCTAGATAAAGCTGCACTTTCTTCGTCTGTCCTTCAGCCTCTAGATTCTTGCTTTGGTAATTCTGTATTCCCCAGGTGCATCGACACAAACCTTTTCCTAATGTCTCTCGTGGCTTTTTAACAACTTGGTGTTTTCTCTTTTAGATTTGAGAAGTAATATATATTCTATAAAGAACTTTGAGAAATACAGGAAGGAGAAATATCATATATTGACATGGACTTAAGGCGTTTTTCTCTGCCTATAACTTCAGTACAATTGTTTGTTTATTTAGTGATAGTACTTGGATTGAACTCAGGGCTTTGGACTGAGCAACACCCTCAGCCCTTTTTAAAACAATTATTTATTTTTCAGCTTTGAGATAGCCTCATTAAGTCTCTAAGTTACCCAGGCTGTGCTTGAACTTGCCGTCCTCCTGCCTCAGCCTCTCCGAGTGTCACCATACCTGGCTGCAGTTGGTTTTTGTCCCCCGCACCCCCACCACCACTGATACTGGGAATCAAACTCAACCTCGTGCTTGCCAGGCAGGCGCTGTGCTGCTGAGCTAAATCCCCAGCCCCTGCAATTTGTTTTTATATTGTGTGAATCCTTCCCTTCCCTTTTAAAATCCTTACCTTACTAGATTTTAAAAGTTTTTATGCTAACATGTCTTTCCTACCTTGTCCCGGGAGAGTAAAGGGTCGCTTGTGAAACAAGTGCCATAAATCACATTTTTAGTACCTGACATTTTGCTGGGGTTGCTGTCCGCCATTTTACTGTTACGTGAATTATATTATCTATGTAAATGCAAAATAAGTAACATGAAATCTTAAAATGATATCGGGAAAAAGGTTTCATATGTTACAATATTGTGTTGGCTTTTTTGCCCTTATATCAGTTATGTTTTAAGCTAGAAATAAAATTACATATTCTTTTATTTGAGTATGTAGCACTTTACATTAAATTTTCTTGAAAGGCTTTAGTGGATAATTGGAGAAATCTCTAGTTGCTCTTACATTTAGCTCTTCCTTGGTTTCACCCATACCTACTTGGTCACTGTCCTTTGTTCTCTCAGACTCCTTTTGCCTTCCATAGTTAGAAGCAGCAAAGTGTTGGATAACCTGCTTTTGAGACCAGCAGTTCATTCTTTGGATGCCTGGGAAGAACTTTGCCAAAATGTTAGCAAGGAGGAGAGACAAGGAGCAGTTAGCAGTAAGAGTAGGATGGCATCTTAAAACCCACAGGAATCTTGGGAGGTGAATTGGAAGTTTTACTGAGCAAAATGGCTGGGTGGCATGATGATCCACATAAAACAGACAAAGCAAATATCTGGCTAGAAACCTGGGTGACAGTAACCTCAATTACTGGCTTAGAAGCAAGAAGAGGCCCAGGAGGCCTTGTAGGGAAATCTCTTGTGGAATTCACTTCTGAGTTACTGTTGGAGTAGCAGTTCTGTAAGAGTCAAGGTCATAGTAGTACAGACTAAAGAAATATGGTAAGGGGAGGCCCAGAGCCTACAGCAGCTTTTGAGAAAGTTGTGCTTTTTCTTCATTTTTTCATTTCTTAGCATCTATAGGTACTATTTCTAAATCAAGGTCTGTGCTAGGTATTGGGGTTCAGCACTGTACAAGAAGATCTAATTCTCACGTTGAAGCTCACTGTCTGAATGGGAGCACATAAGTGGGGAGATGATTAATTAAAATGCAAACATAGTAAACCTTGCGTTACTCACTTTTGTGCCTATATGATAAATTTTATTAACATAGGAATGAAACTTTTTACGCTCAGGTGTCAAAAATAGAAGGAAAAAGTGTTCAGTCCCTATTTCTAAAGCTCTGTAAGGGCAAACAAAAGATTTCCTTCTTTAATTTCTTAAGCATGATACCTTAACAGGGAGGACATTTAAAATGTTATGTGAGGTCAACTTGGTTCTCAGGTGCTCTGTGTAGCTGATCTCTAGAACCTAGGAAAAGCTCCCTCTAGCTCACTAGGGTCTTATGGTAGATAATGTACTGTCACTGAAGGGTAGGATTCAAAGGAAAGCCCTGTTTAGCTCGGAGATGCGTAGTGGGGTATTATTAAAATTTAGTATCTACTTGTATTCACCTTATCTGAAAGAAGTTCTCTATATAAAGAAGTCCTATCCTGCAGTTTCTTTCTCTTTCCTAATCTTGTATACTTAATTTTTTCTAGTTGCCTGACTTGGTACATCAGCTAGGAACACTCTACCAGCTAATGGAAAGCAGAGTCAAAACTTTTCAGAAACTCTCACACCTTCATGGGAAGCTTATCCTTCTAATCACACAAGTGAGTAAATCAGATTGTTTCTGGGTAAAAGTTTTGCATGGGATAGGAATGGAGAAGAGAATAAGGATTGTTTACCTGAACATGGAGACCTCTAGTTCGTAAGAAATCAGTAAATCGGAATCTAGTCATTAACCTGGAAGTGTTATCTGTTTGACAGCTTAGCTATTTCAACTTGCTAATACAGTTAGATTAGACATGTTACTGTGAACAAGTTACAGGGTATTTCTACAGTTAAAAAATTTTGGTATGGAAAGATGCTCTCAGTACTTCAGAGGGCCTTCAGCTCTTGCCCTGCATGTTTCTACACTTCATTCCGGCCATCCATTTTAGACAGGAAAGCAAATGTGCAAGATGGATATGGTGGTGCATTTGACACTGGGAATAGGCTTACACTCTGTTTCATAGTTTTACTCTGTCTTTCAGGTTACAGCATCAGAGAAAGTAAAGGGAATGACTTCCCCGGACCAGAAGGCCAAATTGGTGTATGAAGAAGGTAACAGTGGGGACAGGGTAAAGCATGGCACTGGGTTGATTAGTTTTTACAGTGACTCAGTTCTGTTATCTTACTTTGCAAAAACACTGATGTAAGATCTTGCTTTGGCATACCTCCCCTAATACAACAGGTGTAAGCCTGTGGCAAAAACCTGTGAGATCAGGAAAGAGAAGGCACAAGTATGAGAACAGTAACAAAAGGCATCAGGTATGGAAAATATTTAAGTAGAACACTGAACAAACTTTATGAAAATACATTGAAAAACCCAGGTCATGTTGGTAATTTGTGAGGAAACTTTAGAGGTCAGAACTGATTTAAAAGTCTATAGTTTCAAAACTGACACAATCACAACCTCTCACAAGATTGTAAAGCCCAAGATTTTGGGGGTGATCTTTGTTAAACCTTCAAAGAACAAATTAATTTTTGTCATTTACAAACAGTTTAAGCATTTTGTGAGTCAAGTATTACCTTGTTAACTGTTAAAACCAAAGTCAAGAGTATTTTGGACCAACCTAAAAGATCTTAAGTAGTAAATTGATTATAGGAGTGTTTGATGCACCATTGCCAAGTAAGAGTTTATTTAAAAATTATAAAGTGATTTAGCATCAAGAAGTCTGTTAATTATAGTCATCACATTAGTGGTTTACTTGAGGAACACTGCATACTTTCTTAATAGGTATAGACAGAGACTATAGAAATACTTAGCCTTTCTGCATCTCAAGCAACTAAGAAATTGATGAGAATTTCTTTCACTTAAAATGTTTATCAAATGTATATGTAATAGTGAAGCTTTAAAAGCATTGCCGCTAAGTCAGGGACAAGGCATAATCTACTTTTATTGCTTCTAGGTTTCCTGCCTAGTACTACATGAAGAAATTAATTCTAGAACATTGAACTTTATTCTTATTCTTTTTCCACATAGAAAATACAACAGAATCTGCATTTGTACTATTGTTAATAAATGCTGTGTAAATAAGCACGTGTACAGTTTACCACAATATCAGTGAAAAGAAATCTGCTGTATTATATAAACCAGTAATAACTTAGTAAACTGTTTAAAAAAAAAGATCTCTTTCACAGCAGCAGTCAAAATTATGAATACCTGAGAATATACTTAGAAAAATAAAACAAAACTTTTTTTGTAGATAGAGTCTCACTGTGCAGTTTAGGCTAACCTTGAAGTCAGTTTGTATCCCAGGCTGGCCTCAGACTCACAGCAGTCCTCCTGCCTTAGCCTCCCAAGTGTTGGAAGTGTGCACCTGACTTAAAACAGAACTTTTATAGGAAAAACTATAAAACAGTTGATAAATACAAAAAGCATACCTGAATAAATTTAAAGATAAGCCAGTAATTTCAAAAGGAAAGATATTATATTGTCAAGTTGCCAGTAATCTCCAAATTATTCTGTAAATTTAATAATATTTAGCTTATTTGGAAGAATAAAGAACTCAGAATATCTGCCATTTTAGGTGAACAGGGTGGGGGAAATTTGTCCTATCAGGTATCAAGACTAGGGAAGCTATAGTGCAAGAATAGATAAACCAACCTGTAAAACCCCACAGGGCTCTGGGACCTCCCAGTGTATTCACATTGATTCATGTATTAGATCATTTGGAGGAGGATAGCTTGGGCAAGAAGTTGCTGGAAAACCAATAATTTATATGGAACAAAAGACTGTGCCTGTATCACATTGCATGTCACTGTTTTTTTCTTTATACCTTTGTGTATTAAAGGCAAATTTTTATTATAAGAGGAAAATAATAGCCAGGGATATAGCTCAGCAGCACAAGCCCCTGCCTGGCAAGTGCAAGGTCTTGAGTTCGATTTTTGGTTGCCAAAAAAAAAAAAAAAAAAAGAGGAAAATAATAATAAAGTGAACATAGAATTATATAGATGATTTTCTGAATTTTCTCATACCCACTGATGTCATTTAGTATATTTAGTAGCCTAGAAATGGCTTAGTATTTTAAGATGCGTTTTTGATGTTTCATCTGGCATCATATGTTAAATATATGTTTAAGGCATCATATATTAAATGTGTTTTTATGGAGACAATAGTAATTTAATGGTATCAGATGGGTGATAATTGAGTATAAATGATATTTTTAAAAGCAAGTTTAGGAATCTAGTGCTGCTTAATTTTCAAGGCTATACTCTCTGCTTTGTTTACAAAATTAAGGCTGGGTTTTCCTCCCCTGTACAGAATCTTCGGAAGAGGAGTCTGATGATGAAATAGCAGATAAAGATTCTGATGTGAGTGATTTGTTTCCTGGTATATAAATCTGCCTTTATGTCCTCATACTCTGAGAATGAGCCTTTCATGAATGTTTTCCTTCCTTAATATTTCTACCAGGATAATTGGGATGAAGATGAGGAAGAGAAAGAAAGTACAAAGGATGAAGATACTGATGAAGAAAATGAAGACAATGATGAGGTAGAAGAAAATGGTGGGGACAGAGATGTAGCCAGCGACAAAGAATTAAATGGAGATTCTGATTTAGATCCTGGAAATGAAAGTGAAGAAGAATGAAGACATAAAGACAAGCCAGTCAAACTGTGCAAACTCTGGCTCACCTTGCCCAGTGCTGCCACATCCTCCCGGGGAGGGTTGTCCCTGTGCCAGGACGCCAACGGCCGCTGCACATTTCCAAGTTCACAGCGGCGATTCCCGCGCCACCTTGCTATCCTGAGTGCCCCAGACTTTAACTGTGTAAATAAGAGTGTTTCATTCAAATGTTAATAAACTTTACACAGTAAATAGACACATTTTCTGCAATGTACTGACATGAGTGTCCAATATATGGTATATTTTTATAATACCCTAGTATGATTGGTTATCAGGAATTGACTTCCGGGAAGACACAGACATTTCCTCCAGGGGTTCAGGAACTGGGCGCATGTGAAGGAGTCAGCTCTTATCTCAGGTTGGTGTCTTTCATTAAATCCAGATGTGACACAGCACTAGTGAGAAGTTTTTAATTTGGTACCTTTAATTTGATACTTTTTCATAAAAGGAAAAACTAAAAACTGGACTAAAAATGATTGGGATTTAAAAACTTCACCTGTATCCCTAGTTTGTGTATTAACTATGGTAATCTGACAAGTCAGATTGGGTATTTGGAGTGCTTCCCAAAAATAACTACTTATTTTTTAAACTGTCATGTGAAATATTTTTTTAAGATGAACAAAAAAATTATGGTAATTAAAAAACTAAAGACTTAGCCATATTAAGAATTTTTCTTGACTGCAAATTGTCTGTAAAGAATCAAGTGTATAGAGTGGTCATTACTTGCAACTTTTTAAGAAATTCAGTCATTGCTGCTTTTAAAGGTTTTCATTTTTATTTAAATTACTAATGGATCAAAGAACAGTTGTTTATTTTTTCTCTTTTGTTTTAGATATTAATGATAACCTTGTTAGAGTTTTTTTTCCAAAGAAAATATTTTTATAATTCAGTAATTTAATGTGTTCTTCCTCTTCATTACCCATTCCTGGCAGTGTTAGGGTATCTGTTTATCTTTAAAATAATAAATCTGACTCAAGATTTTTATGTCTGTATAAATAAGTATTTTGGCGTGCTACAAAAGCTTTTTCAAATTATCAGCAGTTTACTTTGTTTTGTTTCTAAAGAATGAGCCAGGATTTGCTTAGTGCTCACAAGCAGACACACAGATTAAAGCTCACCTCTAAGGAAGGGTTGGGCGGATGGATTTATTTTTTCCCACCTGTGAATATGTAAAACAAAACTATTTTATCTCTGAGGGACTTTTAAACAGTGGCAGAATGAGATTCTGTGCTCACCTCACAGAGCTGGAGCCATGAGAGCGTATTGGGAATGCAGTTTGAGCTCGTTGCTGGTGCAAATGTACAGTGGTATTTGTCTATCAATGGAGCTGTTTATGACAATTTAATACCATCTCTTTGTAAAGTGAATAAATACTCATCTTTACTCAGTGCTTGTCTTGTGGTATATGTAGAAGAATAGAGCACATGTTTGGGCTTGTGGTATCAAGGTTTTTTAAAAATGATTTTACTTCACTAGCATGCATACAGGCATTCATGGCTTGTTGGATTACCTAGAGTTTGCAATGAAGTGAAAGAATTTTGACATACTTTAGTGTCATTTATAGCTGATTTTTTTTTTTTGGTTTTTCTCCGGTACCGGGAACCGAACTCACGACCTTGCACTTGCCAGCAGGCGCTTTTGCTGCTGAGCTAAATCCCCAGCCCCTAGCTGATTGTTTTTTGAAGCTATCTCCCTTGACTGGATTGTGATCTCAGAGCCCAAGGCTAGTGTGATGGAGGAGGAGGAGTGTATGTGCCAGTACTGCACGCTGGTCCTGGGAGCCACACCGCCTTTCCTCCGACCGTGTCAGTGATAATGTGCTAATCTCACTCTCATTTTTTTTTGCCTTAGGAAAATTCAGAATTAAATTGCTCTTGTTATGCAAAGAATTTTCTGGTCATAGGGTATTTGATGTCTTATTCTTCTGCTGATTCAGAGAAGAAAAGGTTGTGGGTATCTGTTCTTTCTTGAGTTTCCAGCCCTCCAACCCTGATCCAGTCAGTGGTCATGCATCATACTAGGTTGTCGTATTGCTGTATTAATCCAAAATATCGCTTCTTTGTGTGTGTGTGTGTGTGTGTGTGTGTGTCTGTCTGTCTGTCTTGATTTTTGTATTTAAGTGATGTTACATAAACTAAGCTGTATTCTCCAATGTGTCCTACATTCTGGATTTGTCTGTTTTCATATGATTAGATTTTGGTTTAAATGTTTTTGGCAAGAATCTTAAATAGGTTGTATTTAAGATGAATAATTTGTACAATAAATTCTTCAGATGTGGGTGAGTGTAATGAGCATGTGAGTATGCCTTGGTGTCAGTAGGTGTCAGGGATGTAGGTTTGGGGCTTTGAAGCCTTAATCTGGAAGGGCATCTGTAAGTCAGAACTAGGATCTCAGTAGTGGGGACATCGGGTACACTTATGTATGTCAGGTTGTTATGACATAATTCCTATGGGAGTTAGTTCCCAAGTCTACATTTATTCATTTATCAACTGATTGCCTACTTTTTGCCAGATAATATTTAGTTAATTGATACAGATCACTGAGCAACACCCTCCCAGAAAATGTGCCTGCTGTAGTTTGGTTCAGTGTCCCCCAAAACTTGACATCTTAAAGGCTTAGTCCCTGGTGCTGTTGGGAGGTGGTAGAGCCTTTAGCAGATGAGTTCTGGTGGGAGGTCCCTGGCCCTGTAGGGCAAGCCCTTGAGGAGACTGGGACCCTGGTCTCTTTCCTAGTAGCTGTACATCCAGGATAGGAAGTAGATGCTTCTCCATGTACTCCCACTATGACACGCTGCCCTTAATGGTGGCCCAAATAATGGGGCCCAGTTTGAACTGGCACCCATACATCTGAGCCAGAATGCAACTTTTCTAAATGAATTGCCTTGGGTGTTTCGTTACAGTGATGAAATACTGACTTTGCCTTAGAAGAGCTGACATTCTACCAGGGAGATGCTGGCAGTGTGTATGGGATGGGAATTTCTGTGGTATGGTAACTGAGGGAATAAAAGCAGATTAAGGCAGTAAGGTGTTGGGGGAGAGATTGGATAATAGACTTACATAATCAGGTTGGGGCTTACTGAGAAAGATTTGAACAAAGACCAGGGTGAGGTGAGATTGTTAAGTCAGGTGGGCCTCTGGGCAAGAGACCTGTAGGCCGAGGAAACAGCTTGAGCAGAGGCCCAAGGCCAGCATGTGCCTGATGTATTGAAGGAACTTGAGGAGGGTGGTGTGATAATCAGTGAGGAGAGAGCGTATGGAGACGGGGCCACTGTGCTCTCCGGCATAGTGGCCTACCCTCATGCTGAAGGGTATACTTTCCTACTTTTACTTAGCGTAGACTCACTCTGTACTGGTTGTTTCTTTTCCTACCTTTACCCAAAGACCTGCACATGGACTTCTTACGAGACCTGGAGCAGGTTTTCAATAGGATGGCCAGGACCTGATGTCAGTCTGAGAAGTGAGTGGTACAAAAAGGGCAGCTCTCATTGAGTTTTCACCAGTATTTTCTCTCCTATGGTGGCCTACCCTCAAGCTGTAGGATGTACTTTTCCTTCCTTCAGAAAACTTAACTACCATTAAAAAAAAAAAAAAAAAAGAAATTGGATCAGAAAGGGAGTGGGCAGTTGGGTTGTGTAGGGCCTTGCAGAGAGTTACAGGGACTGGCTTATTCTCTTGACTGAAATGGGGCATTGTGGCATTTGATTAGAAGGATGGCATGGTCTGACCTCTGGAGAGTAGCCTGCGGTGAGGAGAACGGAAGTGTTTAATAGGCGGAAACTAGTAGGGTGTTTTGCATCTGAGAGAACGATGGTGATGGTGACTGAGGCGATAAGAATGGAGCTGGTGAGCATTGGTTGGTTTCTGGCGCTGTTTTGAAGTTAGGAGTTCCTTGTGAGGTGTTAGGAAGAGAAGTGCAAGGAGCTCAGGTTGTCAACAGCATGTGGTCTGCCTGTCCTACTGGGATCTGATGGTGCCACTTCACACTTCTCCTTTTGTGATTGGACTTTGGCCGTGTTGGGTCTCTCAGGTAACACTCGCAGCCTCCTGGTAAGGATGCTTTCTAACAGTTCAGGAGCTAGTACTGGTGAGCATGGCTTCCACCCAGCGGCCTGGCGGTAGTGATTCGGTACTGACACGGATGTGGTAATAGAGCGCTAAGCCAGTGTGAGCTTCCCGAGAGTGAGGTAAACAAAGGAACCCTGAAGCCCAGTGCACCAGTGCTAAGGAAGAGGCGGAGCGGAGGCGGCAGGGTGACTGAGGTGACACCCAGGGTGGCCGAGGTGGAAGGAGTTGATGTTGCTTCATTATTCATGACATCCCTTGGCTGTGGTTGCTGTCCCTTGTGACTGGTCTGCTCACTGGTGAATCTGCCTAGCATGCTGTGCTTTTCAGGTTGCCCTTTCTATGACCATTTGTTGATCACTTCTTTGAAGGCAACTCCGGCATAACATTGGATTTTCTTTTCATCTAGTATAGTGGTCTTGGCTTTTTTTATGAGGCCTCCGCACTCTCAGGTGAGTGGCTGCACAGTGTAATTGGATTAGAGGCTCTGTTCAGACAGGACCCTGGAAGAGAACATGGGATAGATGGTGTGCAGTCTCTCTGGTGCTAGCTGACTTTGGGGCAAACAGACTTGGAAGTGTGTCTCAGTACTGTAGTGGGTTTTCATACAAAGGTGCGTCTTTTTTTTTTGTGTGGAAATGTGTCTGAGAACAATGGTGGGCACTGTGTAGAAGGGAGTACAATGTGAAGTTTGCATGGGTGTCGTGTGCTGTACATTAGCAAGTAAGGAATGTGAAATGATCCTTTAAGTTCAGAATAAACAATTTGACTATTAGTCTGGCATATTTTAGGTAATAATGGCTTCAAGAGGGAGGAGGTTCTATACTGTTTTGGGTGCTAAAGCGTAACAGGATTCTCAACTGGAAATACTTTTTCACTGGCTTGCCCTACAGTACTCTGTCTGGTCAGTTTGTTCTGCTTAGATTTCCTCCTGGAACTCATGTGGAAAGTGCAAAGAGCTGCTTGCCTGGTGCAGTGGACTTTGCCGCTCCCTCAGCTGGCCTGTGTGGTCCTGATGTTCAGAAGTTGGACCAGTGCTTCGTAGGTTCAAGAACTTTGTCCTCACTTCCTGGGCTGATCATGTTTCAGAGTGGAGTCATGAACCAAGCTTCTAGGAGAAATTGCATTTCTGTGGTGAATCTGCCATGAGCAGACCCCGTTAGATGGGGCAGAATGTTCATATGGGGTGGGACGTGTCTTCTTTCTGCACAGGTGTCAGTGCTTGCTGGAGAAACAATGCCAGGTACACAAACATGAGAACTTACAAGCTCGGCTTACAGTAGCCGCCCATAGAGTCAGGTGGCCTGTGTGCTGGGTACCAGGAGAGTCCAGCTGAAGACCTGGAGCTCACTGCAGTGTCCTGTGTGAGTCCACATCAAGAGGCTGACGGGTCTGTGCTGGAGGCTGAAGGTGATGTCCAAGGTGAAGGTGACATCTGGAACTCCCAAAAAACCAAAAGTGAGCCTCTTAATTTCCCCTTCGTACCATTCAGGCAACAAGCTGCCCTAGGGTGGGTCTTCTGTTTTCAGTAAACCCTCTGAGCCATACTCAGAACTATGCTGATCCAATTTAGCTGGATGTTTCTTACTCAAGTTCATGCAGTCACTTAACTGTCACAGTAGGAAGCACACTTGCCCAGTTTTTTATTTTTTAATTTTTGATCTTTTTGAGACGGTCTCGCTATGCAGCTCAGGCTGGTCTTGAGCTCACTTTGTAGCCCAGGCTGGTCTCAAACTTGCAAGGATCCTCCTGCCTCAGCCTCCCAAATGCTGGGACTACAGGTGTGCGCCACCACTTCCGGCTTGGAAGATTGTTATTGAACTAGCGTGTGGCACTGCAGAGAGAAGTGAAACAGAGGGTCTTGGTAGCTGGTGTCGTGGCCAGTGTGTCATTCCCCTGTCTTGCTGGTGGGTTTTGACATCTTGGCTTCACTATGTGCTGTACTGTGTCCTCTCACTTCACACCATTTCTTCGCTGAAAGGACGGGAGCTGTGATTGGGATTTGGGTGTGTTGTGTCTCCTCAGGCAACACTTAACCAGCTGGTGGAGTATGTTTAACAATTCAGAGGCTGATTGTCAGGGACCATCGGCACTGCAACAGAGTAACACCTAAGGAACGTAATGGATTCAGCAAAACTTTGACCTTGTTCTCATTCTGGCAAAGTCCTCCGGTAAAATCTGCCTAACGTGGAAGTTAGCATTTTAACTTTTTATGCATGCATTTCTTTGTCATTAGGTATGGTCACACTGTGCAACTGGCAGTCTCTTTAATTGGTGACTTGTGATAAGCCTGGTGCAGGAAATAGAAGGTGGGTTAGCAGGAACA